CACTGTCTTTGCATCACAGATATTATTAATGGGTTGCTTGTCATCTGTGGAATTTGCCTAATCACTTTGTATTGACTTTGTAACTAAATGGGATTATTTCATAGCTTGGGGGACAGCAGAGTCATTGAACCTCTGGCCAGCGTTCTTTTAGTAAGATGAGTGATGATCACACCTCTTTGACTGTAGGAGATTGCTAGACCCATGAAGCTCTTTGTTGTCACAATGCTTTAAAATGGACAATGATTCTTTAATATTTGTAAATTTTGCTTTCCCCCCTCAAGACTCTATCAGTGCCCAGATTGCAGAAATCCCAGGACAAAGAGATCTTCCCCTCACCAATATTATGTTTTTGTGGCCACTTTAAGAGCAGAATCCCATGGGTTTTGCTCTCATTAGATGAAATAGTGAGCTTCCATCAGCCAGGGCCTTCCCGGGTTGCTCCCTGGCAGGGTGAGAGGCAAACGGATGATTTTTGCCTCTCCACCTTCCTGCTCCTTTGTTTTTGCTCTAGCCAGGCCTCTGAACCTGTCTAAAGGACACACAATGGGAGAGGCAGGAATGGGACTGAAGTAGCCCTAGGAAACATCCTGTCTTGGCCTCTCCTCTCTCATCTCCTCCTGGCCATCAGAATCTCCCCTTACAGACCATTCTGAGGTTCTCTAGGGCTGCTGCTATTTAACTTCTATGCCACCCCACAGTTGAAGCAGTTCCTCACAGTCCATAAATTAGATAATAAAATGCAATAGTACATAAAATGAGAAAAACATTTAAAAGTTTTTAAAAAGCTAAAACAAAAAAAAAAAAAATACAAAGACTCTTTGAGCAATTCCTCAAGACCCTGGGTATCTAGATAAGTTTTTAAAGCACCGGCATAAAGGACTGTCTTAACCAGGTGTCAGAAAGATGACACATTTGGTGCCAGTTGGATCATGTGAAGAAGTTGTCCCATAAACAGGGGGCCACCACAGAGAAAGCCCTTCCCCTTTTGTTGCCATGCTTCCCTTGGAGCTTGCATGGCAGCTGCAAAGGGGTGGAAGGTGAGGAAGGGATCTTCCCTCCAAGCCTGTAGTCCCTGCTCAGCTTTTGAGCCTGGGATGCTGCTCTGTGAATGCAGAATTGTTCCCAGAATCAGTTTGTTCACCTTGCCTTTCCCATCTCAGTAATGTGTAGCTTTATACAATGCATGTCAAGCCTCAGGAACCAATATGACTGGTTTGACCAGAGTGACAGAAAGGGGCATGTCTATCTCACAGTGATAATCTATTACTTACCAAACTTATTACTGTCCTATAACTTATTGCTTACCAAACTTATTACTGTCCTATATCTAATAAGATTCCCAAACTGTGGGAATCTTAAGGTTCAGCATCTTAAACTGTAATCTCAGATTATATCTTATTCAAGAAAATGCTTGTGTTCTGCATTTGTTGGATACCAAAACACCTTGCTAGTAAGTATTTGTCTCTGTTGATGAACTGCTGGTGGTGCATTACCACTAATGCTTCTTTTGATCTTAAAGTTTTGGCAATGTTCAGTAGTTGCCTTTTTGCGGGGGAGGAAGGTATAATATGGATACACTTTGTATTAGAACATTCTTTGCTACTTTTGAGCTGTATGTGCTTTTAAATTTGTAGAAGTTAAAACCTGGCCAGTGTACATGGATCTTCTATGCCCTTTTGACAACTAAAGGACTGATAGCGTAACAGTGCAGCTCAATTTCAGGCCTGTCTATCAAGGGTAAGATGCTGTTCATAAGAGCATTAGAAAAGATATGTGACCTTTCTGTCTTGGTTGACTCCAAGTAGTTGCAGATGCCTAACCTGGAGCAGGATGGGGGCTTTGTGTGGTAATCATATTCATCATGCCCAAAAGCATATTCTAAGGCACAGCTAAGGATGGAGTGAAGAAAAGAGGGACAGAAAGGAGAAGGCTGAGAAAGCAACCCAAGCTGGTTTCTGTTATCCATTTAGGAGCCAAGTGGTTCCAACTAAGGACCAAGAACTGGCTCAGGGTGGAGGAGAGCATGATAGTGCAAGGTTGGGGGGTACAAAAGCAGGGATGCAAAATCCAGCAGCCCATTCTGGCCCTCTTGAGTTTCCCCAACCACTGATCAGTTGATCATTTCCTGTCTTTTCTGTGGTTTTCTGCCCATTCTAAAGGTTGAAATGCCTCTTAGTTACTTAGATTTTGTTACCTGCAGTAAGAGCTTTGCTATATCAGAATGTGCTGGTATGTTGGACTCTTGTCCCTTTTGCCTTTGGCTACACGCACCCCTGGAAAGTGTTCCCTGATAGATTGTCCAAAATGGGATTTGGCCCTTGAGTTGAAAAAGCCAGTGGCTCTTTGGATTACCAGACAGACTAGTGAGAGAGCAAGCCTGGATTTGGCTTCCCTCTGGCTGCTTTCAATCTTGGGATATAAATGAGGCAGGATATAAATGTAGTACACTTATTACCTTTTTCATTCTTATTTTTTTTTCCTTTTGCAAGGAACCCAAGGTAGCATAGAGAATCCCCCTGCTCTCCCTTTTATCCTCATGAAATACTAATCAGATAGCTTGGGTTGAAAGTTGGTGGCTGGTCAAAAGTTGCGCAGTGAGTTTCATGGTCAAGAAGGGACTAAAAACCATGGGAAACCTGAGTTTAACACTTTAACCCCTATACCACATTGGCTCTCCATGAATACATAAATAGAGGCTCTTATTGATCTAAACAAATATTGCCTTTGTTTCGATTGTTATCCCACACTGTTTCATTCAGATGATCATTGACAGATTTTTACATAACTATAATAAATTATATTTGCTGGAAAAGTATGTGAGTAAAGCATGTTAAATCTCAAAAGCCAGATGGAAGGCTGAACAGTGGTTAGACAAGAGATGCTCCAGCCATGAAGTTAAGTCTTTGTTCAGTCCCATGACAGCTATTGACTGACTTGGCCTTTAATTAAAAAGAAGCCAAAATGCTCTGGGCTCTCCAAAATGCATGTTGATTCCAGAGAACAAGTTTGACTGAACAGCAACCTGGGCTTCCTGCACTTAAGTAGTTTCAGGTTTGGCACATAATATGTGGAATAGTATCCAACAAGAAACAGAGAGACCAGCCTGACCAATTAAATATAGGAAAATGGTCCAGAACATGAGGTAAAAAAGAACAGAATGAAGATGATAAAAGAGGATTAATTTCACTAATTTGAGTTCAGCCTTGTTGACCCGTGACTCATGTGGATCCTTTTGATGAATTTTCATTCCTTTATTATGACCAATGACAATAAAGACAAACAGAAAGCAAAAATTGTAATAAAAGGCTTATGAGTTCAAAACCAAACACTTTTGCAGTGACTCACTGATTGGAGAAAAAACTATCTTCCCTAGGGTTGAGGTGCTTCATGTCAAAAGCAGCAGAACCCTGAAGAGATTAAGTGATGGGAAGTACTTGGCACTAGTATGTTATTGATGTGTGTGAATAAAAACAACCGTAAAACCAGTAGGAATGTTGCTTGCTGAGGGTAATTTTATGAAAACAGTGGTGTTTCTGTTCTAGCTTTCCCTGCAACCTTGTCCTGTAATCCCATACATGTTGATTACAATTGGGTGTAGTAGTCCAGACTAGGACTAGCAATAATTGAATAAAAATGCCTGAAGTGGTGGCTCTGACTCTTTTGCCCTCAAATTAGTTATATCTCTCAGCTTAACCTACCTTGCTGGGCTATTCTGAGGATCAGAAAAGGCAGGGGAACATGCACAGATTCCCAAGCTTCTTGGAGGAAAGGCAGGATAAAAACATGTGGAAGTAAATAATCTGAGTTAATATCCATTCAGACAGAGCACTGTATATATGTACTTGCTGGTTAACTGATGAAACAAAGAATATACCTGTAAAATACAACACTGTAAAATGTAATATAAAGCCACACATTAAAAAAGGACTAAAACTGGAGTAGTAACTGATTTAAACATCCACCAATGTAATTTTTAAAACAGCAGGGCTGGACCACCTTGGGGAATAAAAAGGTTTTCCCGGAAAATACCATAATGTAGGTGACATGTAAGGTGCTAGGCAGTATGGAGTAATTCGGGGGGCTCAATCTCAGATGAACATGCACAGAGCTGAAGTGTTAACTCTGCAAGAGTGAAAATCTCATGCATGCAAAACCTGTAAGGGCTTTCCCACACCCGGCTTCTTGCAGTGTTTTGTTCATGTTGTCTGTGATACGCTGGCCGGAATCCTCCATGATGTAAGAAGTGCCTTGCTTCGGCTTCCTTTTCCTTGATCAACATTCAGATGTTAACTTTGGAGGGTCAAAGGCTTCCCATCTACAAACATCACAAGAAGCATCTGGGGGCACCAGCAGCTGCGTAAGTGTTTGTTAACAAGAAAGGTCAGCCCTTTTGTGCAGGCCTGGCAGCAGAAGCCGAATGAGGCTTGCAGAGAGGTCTGGATTCTTACCCTTCCACATGACAGGTTCGAAGGGTATCCTGTTGTTGAATGTCTCCCAACATTACTATGTATAAGGAGTTAAAGCCCCAGTGGAAGAGGCAGAAAACGGCGCCCGTTTCTCCATCAGCGCCATCCCTGCTGGTCAAGCTGCACTGAAAGCCCAGTTATTATGAGCACTTCTCCTTGGCAATAAAAAAAAATTAGCCCAGTAATACACTGGGGGCGCAATCCAATGAGTATTTAGGCAGGGAAATAAAGGCCTGCGGATCGCATTCAGAAACTGAAGGCCTTCTTTCTGTGGTAACACGCGTCGGGTTGCGCCTTAACAGCTTCCCAGGGCCGAAGCCTTTCTCGGCCAAACAGTAGGGCCACCCCGGATAACGCCGATCCAGAAAGCGGGGAGAGGGACGCGCCAGCGCAGGCGAGCGTGAGAACACCCGCCAGAGGGCGCTGTGGCCAAGGCTTGGCGGCCAGCGGCGTCCCAGGCTGGCTCCACGCGCTCCTGGGATTGGCGTGAAGTGGAGCTCAAAAGTCTCGGGCTCGCTCGAGGACGCCGCCAGAAGAAGCCCCAAGCCTCGCCCGCCTGCCCGCTCGCTCCCGCTCCCGCTCCCGCTCTCCGTGCGGCGCCAGCGGCGGCTGGCTTTAGAGGGAAGTGCCCGGAGACTCTCGCCTGCCGCCTAATCGGACCCCTCCCACGCCCACCCTTGTGCAATTCTCATTTTTTCTTTTCGGTGGCGGGGCAGTTCTTTGCATGCTGCAAGCTGAGGACGCTGGTTTCGTCCTTCTGAGCTCGCCTCCGTTGCAACTGCATCGCAGGCCCGGCGGCGGCGGCGACTCTTTTGCGCCCGGGAGAGGAGCAGCGCGCCCGCGAGACGCACTTTTAAAAACCGGAGAATGGCTGCGTCCCCCGGGAAGGGGAAGCCGAGCGGGTTTAAAGTGCTGGTCGCGACGCTCTCCGTGGCGTTGGCGTACTCGTACAACATCGATCTGGACCACCCGGTGATCTATCAAGGGCCCAATAACTCTTTCTTCGGTTACTCTGTGCTGGAGCATTACCACGACAATACGAGATGGTGAGTGGCCGGGTGAGAGCAGGGCGCGCGAGGGAGCAGCGGGGTGCATGGCTCTTACCTCACGGGGGAGGCATTTCCCTCGCCTGGACTCGCAGCGGGGCAGCCCCTGCCCCGCCGCCCCAAAGGGGGGCGTTGAACTTTTCCTGCCTCTCTTTCCGATCTTCTAGATCGACTCGGTTTCGCCGGACGCTTCCCTTCCCTAGGAATGTGTCCAACTTGTCGATTTCTTCTTCGGGCGTCCTTCCTTACCCGCCTCCTCTATCTCTCCGTTGTAATAAAAGAAAGAAGTCAAGAACGCGACTTGTTCAAAATGCAGCCTTCTGACGGACACGTGCTTCCCCGCTACTTTTTAAGATTGTGTGCGGTGGCGGACTGCCCCTGGGAAGCTACTCTACCCATAGGCGGAGGAAGCAAGGTGTCTTAGAACCATCCTGTCGGAAAAAGACCTTGGAGGTCATCTAGCCCACCCCCTAAATACATCTCCAAGAGATGTCTGGCCAGCCTGTACACGAAGACCCCTAGCAGAGCTCATCACCTCGCTAGAGGGCAGGTTCCATTGTCAAGGTGTGTCTCCCAGTGCTTAACTGAAATTGCCCTTCCTGTAATTTTAGCCCACTGCATCTAGTCCTTCTGTCTGGGGCAGCAGAGTACCAAGTTACCATAAATGTGGCAACTTTAGATCTTAGAAGGGTGCCAATATCTCTTCTCCAGGGTAGTTATAACTAGGTTCCACTCTTGGTATCATTTGGTCACAGGAAGACAAGTTCTAGCCTGTGGTTTTAGAGCGCTCTGGCACGAATTAAATTTGGGTGGTCTTAAGTGGTCTTGATCAAATGAAATTTCAAAATGCCACCAGCTGTCTGTTGTGAAGATGGGAGGGAATGCTGAAAGTGCAACCCTCCAAAGGCAGCTTTCCAGCCTTGCTCCTGTGTGATTGAGGGAGCTGAGTTATTAGTTATTTGGGGGGAAAATTCCGGTTTTCTTAGCATCCCCCAGACAATTCTGCAGCTGCAGTGGCTGCTCCGTATGTGTGTTGCATGAATGTATGTAGCAGCAATTACATACATCACAGCCCTTTTACTCTTGTCATAAGAATGAGGACCACTTTTCCCATTTGTGCAAAGAAGGTGCTGATTCCTAGAGGGGTGGTAAGCTTGATGTGGGTGGTATTCCAGTCTTATTGCAAGATATGGATGTGTTACCACGAAGAAAGTGATGGGGGCAACTCAACATGAGTGTTCCGTAGGAGAAGCTCATCTCTGAGTCTTGTGGGTTCTGACTGGTAGATTCAGGACAGAGGTGATGATACAGTAGTATGCTGCCCCAGGAGCCCCCCACTCTGAGAAAAGGGGGGCTGGCAGCTGTTTCCTGAAAGCTTCTCACAGCAAGAATGCTTGGGCAATGAGGCAGATGGGCCAGATGGATGGTGATCATCTTGGATGTTTGCTTGAGTTTTGAAGGTGCATTTGTGCACAACCTGCTTTTGGTGCTAGTGGAGCATTCGAGTGCCTGTGTGGAGCAAACACGCTGGGAGTCCAACCCCCCCCCCCCCCGATCTTCCATCTATCTGCACTGCAGAGAAGCAGGGGGTAGTTATGGGACTGGAAGGGAGTGTATAGCCAGGCACTCCAAGAATCACTGTTTTGGGTCAGCCCATTACTCCCAGTTCTAGTTTCCAGTATAAATTTTTGGCAGGCCTGCAAGCATCTTCCATCAGTTGCCTCTTGTATCTGACAGCTGAAACTTTTGCACCTCTGGTCACAGAGATCCATTTAGCTGTTATGCACAAGGATGGGGTAGATACAAGGGGGTTTTCATGCCATTATCTAATTTGTGCCTTTGAAAGGAGCAGCTCTCGTGATCCTAGCCCAGCACCGAATCTGGGACTGGACAAATGGGAAACATCAGGTGCCAACCACAGACCTGAAAGAGCTCAGAAGGTACACAGGAGGGAAATTCTTCTGTGACTCTGTGCACTGCCAGCCTCCCTTCCTGACAGGAACTTGTTTGGAAACAGGGTTAATACCTTGTTAAGGACAGGTGCAGAGACTGACAGGGGCTGCACATGGAACTGTGATGATCAGAAGTGTTGCTTTTTGGCTTAGATAGTGCTTCTAGCAATAAAATATTGGCAGCCATCATTGGGTATGATCTGAGTGAAAATGACTCTATCAGACTTACAAATACATCTTTTATCATCCCTTGCTGAACGTTTAAGCTCTCATTGAAAAAAGTTGAACCGAGTTGAAAAATTCTGCCTGTGGTAATCCACAATGGCTCGTGTGCCTTGATGATGCTGCAGTCAGTGGCATGCCTGTGTGAACTGAGCCAAGACTTACGGTTCATACTGGACAAAAGATTTTAGAAATACCTGCTAGTCATCCTGTATCAGAGGATCTGTCCACGGATTTAGCTGAGCCAGGACTCTTTCTAGGACAGCAGTCTGATTCAGCTGCTGTTCTTCTCTAGTTTACTGTTAACATGTCGTAAGAGCAAGCAGGAATGGACATGCTAGCTCAGGAATCCTCCCTTGTAGTCCTCATCATCTTCCATGAGTTGGAGATGTAACATCTGCAGCAGGAAACGTCTTGGTTTGTATACAATAGGGTAGAAGATCTGGATTCTCAACTGCACAGGGAGCCTATATCTGCTTGCCCCAACCTGGTACTATCTGGATGTTTTTGATGACAGCATTCTAGACCATTGACCATGCTGGCTGGACCTGATGTCCAACACATTTGGGGCGGCAGGTTGGGAAGCCGGCCCTGTATTCATAGAAAAGGCTGAAGACATGGCATCTCTAAATCAAGAGGACACTGCTAGAAAGGGGCAGAGCTTGGCATGCTGTGTTTGCGTCCAACTCACGCAGTATGACAAAGATGGCAACAGAGGGTGGGGGAGTTAGCATGCTCCTACTGGCTGTCCTCTCCTTTCTCTGTTGGTTCACACAGAAGAAGAACACCTGAATAGAATTACAGTTATGATAGCAAGGATGATAGAGAAAGATTTCTTCCTGAGCATAAAGACTACAGTTTTGGACCTTGTTCTCACTGAAAGGGTGACAGTCTTTTGATAGCCCCACTGCAGGCTGCAGTGGGGACTCACGTGATGGAATATGTTCTCATGAAGAAAACATTCCATCTGCACTTAGAAGACTAGTGCACCTAGGAGAAGTCTTGTCTAAAACCTTTCCAACTGCAGTTCCCACCATCCCTGACCATGCTGGCAGACAATTACGAAAATTGTAGTGCAAATATCTGGAAATCTGTGGATGGGAAGGCAGTTCCAGATGGAGCCGTTGTTTTGATTGAAGGAGTGTTCCTTTATTTGATGCATCACATGAATGAAATGGTTCATGGATAACCTAGATGCAGGTCACTGATGCAGTGAATCCTGATTTGGCCGTGCATTGTTGAACTAGACCAATATGAATGGTGAAAACTGAGCTGGAGTCACAATTTAGGGATGTTTTTGTATAGTGGCGGACTGTCTTTAACTTATGGTGACCTACATATCTCTAGATAGCTCTCCACTTTGAGGATATGCGAGGATATTAGATGGGGAACCTCTGCTCTGTGGGCCTAATCTGGCCTGCAGAGGTCCTCCATCCAGCCTGCAGGACCTCCTTGGATTCTTCCAAGGGATGGGAAGCTGTGTGCAGGGGAATCTCCTCTTTCATCTCAGATCCTAGCTGGGATGCAAGTGGAGTACACAGAGCTGGGGACGCAGGCAGCTCTGGGAGAGGCACTTCTTCCTGGCCCTGGCTGAGTCTTCTGTCATGTGCCTTCTGCAGAAAAGGCACTCAGCTCTTCTGGTGGAGGGACGCCTCTCAGTGCTGGCTGAGAACATTCATGCAGGGTCCATCATCACCATTGGGAAGACAAGCCAGGGGCATGGCCGGTGCTGGGAAGATCTGCTCCAAGTTCTCTTTCATGCAGCTTCTGCTGACTCTGATGGGGACAGTAAGAACCACATAAACCAACTCAGTGGTGCTGGGCAGAACGGTTCCCTCCAACACTGAACATGTCCTCTTCTTCGAGTTGAGAAAGCCCTGGAACAGAGCACCAAGAACGGCAAAATGAATGGGGCAGCGGGGGTGGGGGGGTGGATGGCCATGTCCGCTCACATCCTTACGCCAGCAGAGGGCAGTGGGGGGGCCCATTCAAATACTTCCTCACCCCAGGTTAAATGTGAGACAGGGTTCATCATCCGAATCTCTTTTCAGCACTCAGACCTGAAATGTGTGAATAAGGAGCAGGGCTTCTAATGAGGAGAGGCAGCTATTCCTTCCAGACAAATTTGATTGGTGGCGCAGACTCAGAGTGCATCTTTATAGGAGGCATTTAATCAGGTGATTCGCCAAGGGTGCTTCTTCCATTTTCTTTATGAGAGGAACAGTGTTCTGTTACACAAAGTGTTCCCAGCCCCATGTGTTTTCCCCTCTGCTTTTCTATACGTGCCAGTATGTTCCATTACTCAACACAAGATGGCACTGTGGGACAGAGTGGAATTGGGACTTTACACGAGGCTTTCCTTGGTACCTTCATGATCATGGCGCCATCCAGGAAAATACTGCACTATCTTTGCTGTAACCGAAGTTACATAAATGGCTGGAAATCCCAGGAGAGGCCCTTGGAAGGTGATGACATCAAATAAAGGACCAGCAAACTTCTGTGTGTGAAGGATCACAACCGCACAATAAATGTATAAATGCCCATGGAGCTGGAAGGGGCCATTTATAGCACTGAGTCCAACCTACTGCTCATTTTTAAATGAACGAAACACTAGCAAAAGGTTAAATGTTTCTGGGCTTCACCAACTTTTTTCCCCACTGCAATGAAACACCACTTTAAATGTCAGTGCGACGTGAATGCTGGCCTCCCTTCTGTTTGTGTGCAGTTCAGTTTTGCCCTCCAGGTTATTGGATCGAATCAAGGGAATGAAAATAAAATATGATGACGATGATGCCCGTGGTGATGTTACTATTTATAACATTTCCC